TACCATATGATATCACAAACAAAACAAACTCACTGACACAGAGAACAGATTGGTGGTTACCAGAGGGAAAGGTGGTTGAGATGGGCAAAAGCAGTGATGGGAGTCAAGTGCACAGTGATGGATAGTAACCAGACTTTTGGGGGTGATCACTTTGCAGTGTATACAGATTTCAAATGATGTTGTATACCTGAAAACAAATTTTTAGAAAAATAGGAAGAGGGGCCAGACAATTCTTTTCCTTTTTCCTTCCAAAGATTTTCTTTACTTATTTATAGAGAGAGGTGAAGGGAGGAAGAAAGAGACAGAGAGGAACATCAATGCATGGTTGTCTCTCACGCATCCCCCATGGGGACCCAGCCCACAACCCAGGTATGTGCCCTGACTGGGAATGAAACCAGTGACCCTTTGGTTGACAGGCCCGTGCTCAATCCACTAAGCTACACCAGCCAGGACTCTTTTCTCTTACTAGATAGTGTTGCTTAGAACCAATAAACACATAGAAGTACCATTAGCTAAATACACATTTGATTTCATGTTTCACAGTGTCCTAGTCAGGCAGGTTGCTTTAATCCTGGTCTTTCCAAAGAATGGCCCCAGCTCCTCTCCTAGGTGAAAGGTAGCAAATAAGTTGCTGCCCAAATCTGCCAAGAGGACATGTCCTAAAGCTATTTTCCTGTGTTGGAAACCCAATATGAATTCTAATAAGCCCCCTCCCCAGGCTTCCTACTCTATGAGATTCATGTCTGCCCCCCAGCACCCTGGCGGTGATCTGTCAATTTCCTCCCAGTATGTGTCCAGAAATAAGGTTAAAAAGCCCTGGCTGGTGTAGCTCAGTGCATTGAGCGTGGGCTGTGAACCAAAGGGTCATCAATTCGATTCAGTAAGGGCACATGCCTGGGTTTGCAGGCCAGGTCCCCAGTGGGGGGCCACATGAGAGGCAACCACACACTGATGTTTCTCTCTTTCTCCCTCCCTTCCCCTCTCTCAAAAATAAATAAATAAGTAAGTAGGATGAAGCTTTAAACCCTAGATCATAGTTCATGGACTTTTGCCTCCATTAAGGCCTGGCTGAAAGTGCTGCAGAGGGAACAGCAGAGGAAGGCATGATGTGAGGAAGCCCAGGGAAAAGCCCTGATGAGTTTTCTCCTTCCCAAAGCCTCAGTTTGACCATGGTTCCTCACCTGGGGGTTGTGAGCATTGGCCTGGCCGGAGGGAGACAAAGTTGGTCACAGGCTTCCTTAGCAGGGGCTCAGTCCCTGAGGAAATAATCACTTCCCACTGGAGGCCACTTGAGCTAATATGAGGTGACAGGCTGAAGATGGCCAAACCCCATTCTATAGGGGGGAAGTGGAAGGACATAGTAATGGGCACTCTGACCCAGAGCAACGCGTCAAAAAACATCTCTAGAATATCCGTGCCTCTTTCCGAGGTGAGATTTACAAGCGACCTATTTCAGACTTGCGGATAATGTTAGGGTTTGCTGAAATCAGAGCTCTGGGGAGGCGCTTTTTCTTTCCCATCCCCAAGGAAGTGGCACAAGGTCAGGAGAGGCTACGGGTCGGAGAACTTGAAATCACAGTCCTTGATGGCGGGTTAGAGATTGCTCCCTCTGCGCGACTCAGCTCTTTGCGGCGCGAGGAACGGCTTCCCGAACCCCTTAGATGGCCAAAAGGGAGATTCCTAGACTTCTCAAGGAAGCCCCGACAAGCCCCCTTTCTGTCCCGCACCGCGCCTCGCGAGAGACCCTGCTTTCCGCGCCCTGCCGGGGCCTCCTCCCTCTAACCCTCGTCCCAGCCTCCTCGCACCTTAACTGTGTCCAGCGGGTGCCCCACGAACACCAGGCACATGCCTCCAAAGCCGCCGGCCAGGAGATTCTTCAGCGGGCTGATGGGCTTCGCCTGGTCTGTCATGGTCCGTCTGTCAGCCAGCCTGCACGTTCCTTGTCACCTGGCTGCACTGCCCTAGTCGCTGCTCCGGCTCCGCCGACCTTTCACCCACTTTCGAATGGGCGGGGCAAGAACCCGGGGCAGGTCGGGAGGTGGGCCTAGACTGCCCCGCGGAGCTTCCGCCGTGGGGCTACTTCCTGCCTAGGCCCCTCCCTGGTGGGCGTGGCCTAGGAAGCTAGGCTGGAACCTTGACGAGGTCCGAGTCGGTGTGAGGTTGGGTACTTTTCTCCAGAAAGACTTTCCGAATTTAATGCGTCCTCCTGTGTACTCCCACTCCTTCACTCGCTCTGCAGAAGCTGTGTGCCAGGCACCCTTCCAGGTGCTGGAGGCGCAGCTGGTAGTACAGCACACGAGTCGCTGTCTTTGTGGAGTTCACACCGTAACAAAGATAAATTAGTGAAAGACGCATCGTATCGACTGGGGATAACTGCTATGGAGAAAAATAGACCTGGAAAGTGGATTAGGAGCGGGAAAGACAGAGTAATTTGCAATTTTAATTAGGTAAGATTTCACTAGCGTGACTGGATTCAAGACCTGAGAAGGTGAGGAAGTGAGTCCTGTCCATGGGTTTGGAGATTGAGGGACCTTCCAAAGCAGAGGAAAATAAAATGCAAAAGCCCTGAGATGGTCTGTGCCTGGTCTGTTAGAAGCCACAGGGAGACCTTCGTGACTACAGCAGAGCAAGGGAGAGCAAGTAGTAGCTGATGAAGACGTGGAGGTGATGATAGCGTACAAGGCAGACTTTGTCACTGTGAGGACAGCAGCTTCCCTTTTGAAGGGAGCCATTCTGGGGTTTTGAGCAAGGAAGAGATAGTCTGACTTAAGAGTTAATAGGAGCCCTCTGACTCCTGGGTGAGAATAGACTGTAGGGAGCAAGGAAAAAGCCGGACGTGTCGAGGATAAAGATCATGGTCAGAAATGCTGGCTTGAATCAGGGCATAGCAGAGGAGGTGGTGAAGAATATTTGGATTCTGGATATATTCTTAAGGAAGAATCTAGAGAAATTGCTTTTACAAATAAAATTGTTTTTATTTTTAATTGATTTTTAGAGATAAAGAAAAAAGGTAAAGAGAGAAAAACATTAATTTGTCGTTCCACCTAAATATGCATTCATCGGTGGCGGTTTTTTAAAAAATATTTTATTTACTTTTAGAGAGAGGGGAAGGGAAGGAGAAAGAGAAGGAAAGAAATATCAATGTGTGGTTGCCTCTCTCATGCCCCTCACTGGGGATCTGGTCTGCAACCCAGGCATGTGACCTGACTGGGAATCAAACAGGGTGACCCTGTTTGGTTCATAGCCCATACTCAATCCTCTGAGCTACACCAGCCAGGGCCACTGGTGGCTTTTTGTGTGTGCCCTGACAAGGGATTGTACCTGCAACAATGGCATATCGCAGACACTCTAACCAACTGAACTACTGGGCCTAGGGCTTGGCTTAATTTTTAAATCTTTATTTCCTGGGGAGTTAAAAATGTCATTAATGCCCTGGCTGGTGTGGCTCAGTGGACTGAGTGCCAGCTTCAAACTGAAAGGTTGCTGATTCCATTCCCTGTTAGGGCAAATGCATGGGTTGGTGGCCAGATCCCCAGCTGAGTATATGTGAGAGGCACTGATCGTTTCTCTTGCACATTGATGTCTTCCTCTCTTTCTCCCTCCTTTCCCCTCTTTCTAAAAATAAAATAAAATCTTAAAAAAAATAGAATTGTTATTATCATTAGCTCAATAAATGTTTATTTAATGGAGTAATATTGAAAAACAGGTTGGATCTGTACTGGGGGAAAGACAAGCAGACAAGGATAATACATAGGATTGCAATATATTGTATGTATACCAGTGTGCTAGATATGTGAGTGACCTCATTTTTCTATTTTGCAAATGGAATAATTCTACAGAAAAACTTGTTTCCCCTTTATTCACGGGAGAGGATTTATTACCAGTAACTCGAAGTGAGAACCTCTAATTGACATTTTATTTGCAGAAAATATAATTTGGGTCCTTTGCTAATAATTTAAAGGGATGTTTTCTCAAAACAAATGTAGTAAGACCAGTGGATTATGATGTACACTTTATGTAGTAAGTACACTTTTATGATGCTGATATATACAAAATCCATAATCCTACAATACACTTTAACTTATTACTATTAATTTTCACTCCAAATTAATTTGGGTCTTTCTTAGTACGTATTTTCACCTGATTTAGGCACATGTTCTGAAACTGGAAGCTGAATCTCATACACCAGTACATACAAGAAGCAAGAACTAAATTAGAGAGCCCCATTACTCAAAGATATCTCGAATATCATTACGTATATGACTAATGCATGGGTGGGAATGGCTTGGGTTATCCATGCACTTGCACAGGCTAGGGCACTCCCTAACATCACCGGCTTCACAATGGCGTTTCCACTCGTGCAGCAGCAAGTTGAGTGGGCCTCCGTGGCTCAATCTATCCTTAACAGTTGACAACAGGTCCTAGAAAGCACAACAAGTCACAACTAGTACTTCCTATACTGTTTGAAAAAAGATGTGCAGCAAGGAAGTTTAGATTGACTCGTATGTTGAATGGGAAGAGGAAGAACTGGACAGCGAATCAGGGTGCGGAGAGTTCGGCTGCTCAGGGGACACCTAGGCGACGGCCTCAAAGTATAGGCGTAATGCAGCCCCGGCGCGCTGACCCAAAGGCCCTGCGAAAAACGATAGTCCTTTATCCACTCCACAGACGCCAAGTTATAACTATGTCCAGCACTCGAGTACAAACAGCACAGTGAGGAGTCCATCAGAAACACGCTGGTTAAAAGTATCCCGGCGTGTAGCGCTGATATCCGAAAGCAGGAAGCGATGTTGTGACCACGCTGCAGTAAGCCAAACCCTCTACTTTGCGACTTTCCGTATCCCTCGGAGCCAGGCGTGCCCACCAGGGCAGTCTCTGGGACCGAGCACTGGGCTACAAGCAAGTGTACCAAAGGGTAATTATTACCCCGCGCCCGCGGCGACCCCGGCGACCGCGGGTCGACCCTGGGCCGACCCTGGGCCGGAAGTGACGCAGACACACGGAGCACTTCCGGAGTTGCGGAGAACGCTCCGGCGGAGGAAGTAGCGCGGGCCCTGACCGGCGTCGGCCGCAGCAGCCGCTGCCGTCCCGCCAGGGTCCGTTCCCTCTGGTCCGGCCTGACCCAGTCCGGCCCGCCCGGACTCAGCGGCCGAGGGACCGCGACCCCCGGTAAGTGTGAGGACAGAGCTGCGGCCTTGTTTACCCGGCGGGCCGGGGGAGGGGGGTGGGCTCTTCGCGCACCTCCCAAGCTTGGCCGGGGCTCCGCCTTCGTCGTCGCCTGGGAGGCCTCAGCGCCTCCGGCAGCCGGTACTTTATGTGAACTCCCGCCGCCGTCTGCTGAGGGGCGGCTGAACTAGGTGGCCGAGGCGAGCGAGCTGGCGAGTGCCCGGCGTCTTCGTTTATTTCTCCTCCTAACGCCTTCTCAGCTCGCGGAGAGGTCAGAGGCCATCGCCTCTGACCGACTGGCGCCGGTACATCTGGGCCCTCCCCAACGGGCGCGCAGGAGAACGCGCCGCCTCCGGGCTCCCCACTCGAGTCAGTGTTGGGAGGTCTCGCAGTGCGGCCCGCGTGGTTAGTTAACGTCCGCCTGTGAAGGGTCCCGCAGCGCGTGGGCTCCATTCCTCGCAGATATCTCGGCGCCTTGGAAGGCACCTGCGGCCCAGGAGCTGCGTCGCCGCCTCGCGGGACGCCACTGTGCCAGCCGCGGGAAAGACAGTGTTCTCGTATGACTTCCACTCAGTACCGATTGTTGGTTGCTCTGCCCCGTGGAACTTTCTGCCCCAATGGACGTATTCTTTACCTTCGCTGTTGAGTAGGATAGCCATTAGCATTTGACTTGTTACTGTTTCAGTGCGACTGAAAAGCCACATTTTAAATTTTATTTACTTTTTAAGTTAAAATTGAACAAAACACATGTGGCTAACAGCTACTGCACTTGACAATTTAGACATAGCTTTGAAAAGTATGAGTTTTCAAACTAAGTTGCAGGTTCATATAATATTTTCGTGTCAGGTAGTTTTCTTCGGAGATGTAGACTTTAAATGACCGTTCAGGGCTAAAAATTATATCTGAAATAAACATCGCCAGATTCACCAAAAAACCTCTGTTCAACGTCTAAGGAAATTAAAGTGCTGTCATTAGTTCTGTTAATGAGGCAGTGACATGCCCCTTTGAGCGATGTCAGCACTCTTTCAAGTAGAATAGTAAAAGATTAAAAGTTAAGTGTTTATTTAAATGTGAACCTAGAACACCCAGTAAGTACTAAATGGTGTTCTCTTTTTTCAGGTTCCCTTGTAGGAGGGGAACCTGAAGTTTTCCTCTGCCTCTTGAATATTTAGTTGATGAGCAGCCTGGGCAACCTGTAAGCCCAAATCCTGAAGAGGAATCCAGGGAAAGGGAAAGGTGTGCTCTTTTGCTGTGATTCTGGAGGTAACTTTGTGGATAATATTAGGCTCCCCGGAAGGGTGGGGGGTTAGGAATCACCAAAGACCACGAATCTGGTGGGTGAATGTCACTGGTGTCTTCTGGTTGCCAGCAGTGTGGGCAAGTTACTTTTTTGAACTTGAGCTTTCTCATCTGTGAGAAGTAGGTGACAGCCACTTTGTAGGGTTGTGAAGATTTGCTGAGAATGACTCCGACCTGAAATTGGCTCTAATTACAAGAGAGCTATTTATTGGTAGTGATACTTTGTGGATAGGAGCAATATTCACAGATTTTGTTTGCTCAGTACACAGTATCTTACATAAAAATACAAGTAAAAGAAAAAAGATTTTTAAAAAATCAGTTCCTCCATTATTTCGAAAATAATGTGCCGCAGTTATTCAGACTGCTTTTCATTTAGGTTATATTTGCTTGTTTTATGTTTAGAAGTTGTAAGCTCTTGTTTTCCAAGAAATCGTGAAGGATTAAGAAATAGACATAAAGTAGCTAATTGAATAAGCAAGTGGCCCTTGAACATGTCAGAAGAGAGGTGGGAAATGGGTGTTAGTATTGCCTAGTGTCATCCTGTAGGGGACATTGTTTATTTGAAAATAATTTTTTTGTGTGAGTAAAGTGAGATCTGAAATATTGGCAGTATTCAGTAAGTGTTATATTATCACAGTGGAGGGAATTCGTAGTAAAAATCCAGCTTTAAGTCGGTTGCAATTTATTTTGACCACATTTAGGATTGTACAACAGGTTGGCTTTTAAATTGAGGGAGGGAATTGGGTATACGTTTCCATCATCAGTACCCAAGTTAGATTATTGTCAGCTCTTTACTTTGAATACCTTCTTTTTTTTAAGAGGACCACATAGTTTGTCAATATAATTATGAGAAATGGATTTCTGTGGGACATACAAGAAAATACAGTTGACCCTTGAACAATACGAGGATTAGAGGCATTGCCCCTTGCACAGTGTAAAATCTATGTATAACTTTTTTTAAATTGATTTTTAGAGGGAGAGAGAAACCTTGATTTGTTGTTTCACTTATTTATGCATTCATTGGTTGCTTCTTGTATGTGCCCTGACTGGCCATCGAACCTGCAACCTTGGCATATCTAGATGATGCTCTGACTAAGTGGGCTCCCCAGCCACGGCTGTGTATAACTTTTAAGTTCTTAAATACTTCATAGTGTACTATCGACCAATAACATAAATGTTAATGAACACATTTTGTATTTACACGTATTATATGTTATACTGTTACAAATAAGGTAAGCTAGAGAAAATAAAATGTTAAGAAAGTGATGATGAAGAGAAAATATATAGTATTGATTGAAAAAAATCCACATATAAGTGGACTCATGCAGTTCAGACCTACGTTCAGGGGTCAGTTGTAATTTCATAGTTATTCTGGTCCCTTCCTGCTCGTCCTTTTAATGTCTTTGCTTTTTAAAAAATAAATTTGCAAAAGTAGGGAACCAATTTAAATATATATAATTAGAAATTTCTCTTTTTGTTTTAGATGGAAATCATATGACAGACTATTTGGGTGACATCTTTCTGAAAGATCTTCAAGGATTACAGGTATTTGTATTTTAAAGTTTAACTTTTTTCTAAAGGAAAACTACCATAGTTAAGTTCAGTTGTGAATTGGTGGTTCTACCATATAAAATATCTTATTAAAAGTGAAATTGCAAATATTACATTACTGTTCTCTAACATTTTTAAAAATTGGGCATTTATAGTTAACATCAAACCTAGATTCACTGAATTTATTTAAAATTTTATCATTAAAATGTGGCTCTATAGCCCTTTAGACTGGTTATATATTTCGTATAATGCATTTTTAATCTTTGGCTTAATTTTTTTAGAGATTATCTACAAATAGACTTTACATTTTTATTTAATTCAGATTTGTCTGTGTAAATTATTTACATACCATTCAATTTAAATGCTGTTGTATGTATTTTAAGGTTTGTTTTTAGATTTAGGTCACTATTCGATATTATTTCTTGGAAATGACCACTTGAAATAGTACTTATGTGGAGAAGTTAATGGGTATTTGCCAAAATCTTTGAGTTGAAGTTAGTGCTTATGATTATTTTGCTTTCTCAACTAGTATTTGTTCATTTATATGTGATTAATATTTTGAACTGTGAGGATTTCTCTTTTTCTTTTTAAATATTTTATTTGTTTTTAGAGAGAGGATAAGGGAGGGAGAAAGAGGGAGAGAAATGTCAGTGTGTGGTTGTCTTTCCTGCAACCCCCACCGGGAACGGCATGCAACCCAGGCATGTGCGTTGACTAGGAATCGAACTAGCAACCTTTTGGTTTGCAGGCCAGTGCTCAATCCACTGAGCCACACAGGGCAACTGTGAAGATTTTTCAGTAGCTGTTTTCATTTGATCTTTTCACCCTAAATAGATTCTGGTTTTCCCTAGCCTTGATATCTGTAGTTTTCCTTCATTATCCGGTCAGTTTCTTTGCCCCTAAGTACCCCATTTAAAGGATGCATAAAAAAAACCTTTAAGACTGAGTCAGTTAACTTTGCCGGCCAGAGGAAGATGTTGAAGAGCTATGTGACTTGTTTTCTTTAGTAACTATGCAACTGCTTTCTAGATATCTGAGAGTGATGTCTGTGAAATAGTGATTTTTTTTCCTAGCTATTATAGTGGGAACCGTGTCCCTATTTATGTACTATCTTTGTCACCATTAAGTGGGGTGTGATTAGCAAATCGATTATAAACTTTGGTAGTTCAGCCTTTACATTGCTTCCCCTGTCGGCAGCTGTGGGGATGTGCTTCTCTATTAAAGATTCTGGCAGGAGGGACTCATTGACAGACAGCAGCCTTACTTTTTCCTGCTATGGCCTTCACGTGAAGTTACCATTGTCAGCCACTTCTGCCCCTCTAGGAAAGGGTTTCCCTTTGATGAGGGGAGGCTACCTGTATGAGAGAAGAGTTGGGAATAGGCCATAGTGGGAGTAGGGCCAGGGCTGTGCCACTTTGATTCTTGAATGACTTCTGTTACAACTTCTCACAGCGAAAGTAACATGCATTTTTTTTTCTTTTTCTTCCTTAGAAGACAAAAACACTAATGTATTTGAGAAAGTGGTAAAGATTGGGGGGAGGGAAAAAAACCCTGCTTTCCTGATTTGCAACTTGGCTGGATGCTAAGATGTCTGTGGACATGAATAGCCAGGGGTCTGACAGCAATGAAGAGGACTATGACCCAAATTGTGAAGAGGAGGAAGAGGACGAGGACCCTGGGGACATAGAGGACTATTATGTGGGAGTAGCCAGCGATGTGGAGCAGCAGGGGGCTGATGCCTTTGATCCTGAGGAGTACCAGTTTACTTGCCTGACCTACAAAGAGTCCGAGGGTGCTCTCAATGAGCACATGACCAGCTTAGCCTCTGTCCTAAAGGTGAGCAGTGTTGTCAATGCCAAGGGTAATCCCCCCTTAATTAAATCTTAAATCTGAATTTGAGCTGTTGCTAACTAATGTTTCCTCTAGACTGATGGAATGGCCCTGTAACTTGAAAACAAATTTGAGTATATGTTGCATCATTTTTACCTTGTTTTCTAATACATGCATATCTAAGACCCTCAGTTTCCCAGACTGCTAAGAATTAGAAAGCAGGGTAGATTCAGGAACAATGGACCAGAAGAAGTATGTAGAAGCAGTCATTGCAAATTAACACTTGTTTAAGAATGTGAGTCTTATGAAACTTTATTAAGATATGATAAGCATCAGAATCACCATCTTCTTTCTACACAGCCATGTCGAGTGACTGATAAATGTCTTGAGAAGTGCCTAGGTACCTGGTTTGCCTTCAATAACCAGTGCCTCTGGGCTAATGACCTCATTTGTTTCATATGCTGGTGACTAATCTAATGTTGGAAGAAATCTTATAGCAATAAATACAAGAATAAAATAAGTTCTCATAGTTTGTATTTCACTTATTTGAGGGGATTGTTAATATGGAAATTTTAAAGAATTAATAAAGTTGGTTATTCCATCAAGCACGGTATTTTTAACTAAACTTAAACTGTTGTGCTTTTCAATGTCTTGTACCTCAGGCCAGTTACTGTCCTCACTATGACCATTTTGTGGTGAGTAATACTGCACTAGTATATAGTATAGTCACATAGGGCATTATGTACTATGAATATTTTTATGGTCATGTAGACAATTTCCCACCATGTTTCTTTATTCTCTATGTTGGCCATTGTGTGAAAATGAGGATATTTTTCTTATTTTACTATTTTCTTTGACCTTCCTTCAGGAACTATTATATGGACTTTGTGTTCTGCTCAAATTGAAGGTCAAGGGTACATTGGTGTGATTTCAATCAAATAATCTTCTTGTTGGTATTTAAATGGAAATAACTAAAGTGTGTCGTGTATGGTTTCTCTAACAGTTATCTGCTAGTTTAGGTTTTTCTCCCTGGTGGTCAGCAAAGTCTAACCTGGGATTTAGATACTCAGGGCTTTTTTAGCAACTATCTAGAAGCTGAATGCTAGAGGTTTTTTGTGACTCACTTCTTGAGGTGATCGCCGACTTTCTTTTTTGTGCTTAACAGAAAAAACTCTGGAGAAAGGAGACCCCTTAGAACCTCCAGGTTTGGGATTTCTGCACCATAGCATAGCTGTAGCAAAGCTGTGGGACTTGTGTTTCTAGATGGCATTGCCCTAATAAAAAGAGGCATCAGGTTTCTTTCTTCCCCACCCTGCACACCTCTCCCCATTTGGTCAGCTATCTTCTTTTGCTTTAATCATATTGCCAGGTTATATACAATGTTGGTGTTTAAAATTAGAAGAGAAATTGTCAAGTGTGTGGCTGTGTGTTGGACAGTCCCCGTTGACTAAGTTCCTATGAGTGTTTCCATCTATTCGTAGGAATTTTCAGTTTGTCAGACCCTCTGTGCCAACTTTCCTGCACTGCTAGAGACTGGTGAGGGGCCCAGGCACCTCTCTTTCCATCTTTTTTTTTGTGTGTGTGTGGTAAAATATATACAACCATTTTACATCTGTCCTTATTATGCTGACATATGGTCAGCCCTCTGAAAAGCCTTCTCTCCCTAGGAAGCCCTTCCTTGCCTTTTAGTCCTTCAGGGCTCCTTCAGGGTCTAGCTCGTACTTCCCCTGAGTGAGTTTCCTTAACAACCCCTAGAAAACCGTGGTTGTGCCTTTAGTCTCAGTACCCAGACATTACAGCCCACGTGTTTAACCTTTTCCACATATTGTTGCGTGGTTTCTTCAACTAGAACATTACTTATTGGAGGGCAGAAACTGCTTTATACTTTGTATGCCCCATCCTTCCTGTCACAGTGTTTCATCCATAGTAGACATTGAATTATTTCTTGGATACTTGTGGATTTTGCCAACTGTTGAAGACTAGCTGGTGTGAGCTAGATTCCCTAGTTCCTGGTGTATATCCTTCTCTACTGTCATGAAAGGGTATTCTGGCCCTCAAGGTCTTGAAAAGAAGGAGCAAAAGAACTTGGAACAGAGAAGAAGGAATAAAAAGGGATGGAAGAAAGTTGAAATACAAGGAAGATTAATAGAAAATGGGACAAAAAGGAAAATAACCCATGGAAATTCAGATGACGTTAGAAGATAGATTTTTCCCCCCTTATTGAGGAGTGACTTAGATCATTTTCATTCTGGGCCTGGGCAGCAAGCATCCTGGCTCTTTAGGTGGCTTGGCTGCCTGTAAAGGGACTTGACGATGTTCTGAGTGGGTTGGGCATTTGACCAGAGAGGCTAGGCAGAAACAGCATGGTTAAGAATGAAGAAGATGCATGGGTTTGGATTTATGGCAGGCCCGTCCCTCTGGGTCTCTCTTAGTGTCCCACACCAGAGCAAAGTAGCCTCCAACCACTGCCTGGCCTCCGCCCATAGGCTGCAGGCACTGGCGTGGGCTGCACAGTGGAAAATAAATAAAGGAGTCACACAAAATCTTCCTGTTTTAGATGGGCTACAAAACAGTGTTTTTATTTTTATAATGAATATTTTTGAGATGGAATGGGATAATTAAGTGCTGAGTTGACAAAATGCTGTTCACAAGTGCTTTGGCTGCAGTAGCTCCCTTTTTGCCTGTGTCTCTGAGTCAAGATCAGTAGTCATCATCTCCCAAATCACTACTGAATTTCCCCATTGGTCATGGTGCTATTTGTACAGGTCCGTGACATGCTGAGATAGTTCATTTTTTCATATGATATAGGTGCTATTCGGCTAGTGGGAAATGTGACATGCATGTTGTTTAAAATTAGTTTTTCAAAAAGCTGTCCATGAACAAAAGCTGTCTTAAGTTTGAGGAATGGCTTGAATTTTTCAGTTACTCCTGTCTGTGTTACTCATTTTGTGTGTGTTGGCAGTTGCTCATTGAGCCATAGTCTAGCATAAAACTAAGCCTTTTATTGCCTTTTGGGATTTGATGTCTTTTTTTTTAAGATTTTATTTTAATTGATTTTTAGACAGAGGGGAACAGAGAAAGAAAGGGAAACATCAGTGTGTGGTTGTCTCTCTCGCGCCCCCAACTGGGGACCTGGCCCACAACTCAGGCATGTGCGCTGACTGGGAATCTAACCAGCAACCCTTTGGTTCGCAGGCCAGTGCTCAGTCCACTGAGGCACGCTGGCCAGGGCAGATTGGATGTTTCTTAAGTAGAAAAACCCCAACTCTCTGTGACACTGAGCTTTTAGTTTTACTGAGGTCCTCTGGGCTGAGAACAGGTAACTGTATGTGTTCTGGGACTAGTTCATGAGTAAGGGCATTAATTGAGAAAGGAAAATGCCCAGAAAATCAGATCAAAGGCTGAGGATAAACCACAGAGAAAATGCTTATCTGTTGGTGGTGGCGGGGCAGACTGCTGTTGTTCAAATAACGGCAAAACAAGAAGCATGTTATACAGAAGAGCTGTCATCCTACAGAGGTGTAGTGAGAGAGATGATCGCGAGTGAAGTATTGTGTTCTAGGAGGGTGATGACAAATACTTGTAGCAATCATGTATGAGTCTTTCAAGAAAACAGAGTTTCCTTTTTTATACACCATATTTATATGAAACTTACACAAAGATTATTTTATTATTGTTATAGGTGGGAGAGGCCCTTTCTAGTAATAAGAGGCATTTTTAATACAATGTGTACAATAGCCAAAAAGAATTTTGGCCTGCAGTGAATCCTGTTAATACTGTTTTGTGACCCTTATGAGACATTTGTTATCAAACTGTTCAGGAAGGGGCCCAGCTCTGGTAGAGCCCAGGCCTCCTTCCTAGGTGATGGACCAGAAGGGTCTGCTGCAGGGTGCACTCCTCTCAGCAGCCTGTTAGGGGTGTGGGCCAGAGAGTCTCATTGTTGTTCTGGGCCCCACCCACTTGCTTAAGAAAGGGAGAAGAGAGGTTCACTTTGGGCTAGGTCGAACGTACAGTGAGCCATCTGAGCTTTACAGGTGCGGTGGAAGGGCTGTGCAGGTAACAAGTCCAGACCCAGTGGTTTGATAAGTGTGAAGATAGGAAGGTTCCCTTCTGGGCTGGGGTGGGAGACTAAGGTGCGCAGGTGAAAGGAATGAAATGTGGAGGGTCGTAATGCAATCTGAAGTGTCTTTACTATTGGAAGGAAGGAACAGATCTTTTAAACACTGAACTGTGCTGCTCACTTCTCAAGCCTGGTATTTCCCAGGTAGGGTTGGAGAAATAAACTGGTTATTTTCACTGTGTTTATTACTGTTCTTCTTGCTCTTTGAATTGCTATGTTAACTGAGATAGTACTGGGAAAATATTCCCTGAAACACCATTCTGCCCTCCTCTTGCTTGAATTTGTTTTACAATCTGTTATTCAGCAGAATGTGGCTGGAAAATGTCGTAAGGTTTTTTTTGGTAGATGGTTATTCCCCTTCGTGGATGAATCATAATGAGTTTTCAAGGCTTCTGATTCTTAAGTGCAAAAGTCTTTAATAGTTCCAGTTAAAACAACCTGGTTTCTATGTATTTGCCACTTTTAACACGCAATTGCTGTTCTTAACACAAAGTACCTTATATTTAGTCTTTCTCTAAGTGGCACCAAATTTTTGTATATCTGACAGTGCTTTAAATTTCATTTATTAAATCAACTTTTTAATAAAAAGCTGAATTTTAAGGCATTATTTTTATTTATATATATATATGAATTAAATGTTTGTTTTTGTTATTACTCAGGTTAAAGTATCTTTAAACCAGGCATAGTAACACTATTTGTGTGCTGAGCAGCCATCTGATTTCTATTTTTATAACCTGATGTCAGGTTTCTTTGCATGCCTGTATCTTAGTAGAATCTAGATTAAATTCCTGTGTTCCAAATAGCTGGGTGTTAGTGGGTATGTTGCGATATTTCACAATGCTTTCAGTGTAGAAGTCTGATTTGTATTTTACTGGTGATGTGTAAATTTATTTTTAAAAGGGAGATGAGAAATGTCCAGAGTGACATTGAGAATTGCCTGAGTACAACTAGTGCTAGATTTGTCCCTGTCTTGCCAGTTTACAAAGGTTATTGTCATCATTGACTTTGTGTGCTCACTGTGTACTTGGCACCACACACAACATGCTCACTACCTTCCAGAAAAGAAGCTCTTCATCAGAGTCAAGGCCAGTTTTCATTCTAGTCTTTTTGTTGTGCCTTAGGAACCATGTAAGCCATATGTAACCAAAGGGTAACTCTAATCCCACATGTGTCTTAATCCTGAATTTATTTATATTTAATTTCTTGTTGGTGTTACTGCAATATTAAAGAAAGAATATCATTCATAATTTCATTAACCTAAAATAAATTTTCTTCCTTGTTTATTATCCTTCAGATATTGTACATACTCATACATAATATTATTGTGCTGTGGTTCTTTCATTCATTCATTCATTCATTCATTCATTTAACCAATATTGTTGAACCTACTATTTGTGCCAGGCACTGGGAAAAATAGCTGTGAACAAAATAAACAAAAATCCCAACTCTGATCAATGTTACATTCTAGTAATCAGTATGTACATGTATTTTCATGTATATTTCAAACATTTTCCCATTTTTACTTCATTGTCAGATTACTTTAAATGGCTGTATACTACACCATCTTGTTCTTGAGCCATAATTTCCTCAAGCTTTTCCCATTGGGCATTTAGGCGAATTCTTATGTGTTACAACAGTTTTATTGGAATGGTTATATTGCTGTGAGCATTTTCATGGAATGTGGCCTTGTGTATGTTGGAACTTAGCCAGAGCCTTGGCTAGTACTCAGCTGATTGAGCTTCAGTCCCTTTTCTACCATTTAATATAATGTGACCTTGGTAAACTTTCTCAATATCTCTGTATTTTATTTATTTTTGATTTTGTAAAAAGATTTTATTTATTTATTTTTAGAGAGGGGAAGGGAGGGAGAAAGAGAGAAATATCAATGTGTGGTTGCCTCTCACATGGCCTCCACTGGGAGACCTGGCCTGCAACCCAGGCATGTGCCCTGACTGGGAATTGAACCAGCGACCCTTTGGTTTTCAGTCCGCGCTCAATCCACTGAGCCATACCAGCCAGGTCAGTATCCCTGTATTTTAGTTTTCTCATCTACAGAATAGTAATAACAATATCTCCTTTAGAGCATTAAATGAGGTGGTGCTTATCAAGTGCCTGGCACACGAGTATTCAAATAAATGCTTAAGTTTTGGGGGAAGCTGTATGTTTCCCATACAGTGGGAATATTGTTTTCACACGTTTGCTGGGGTTCCTTACAACACTTCGTTAGAATTGTGCTGTTTGAGTCATGGAGTAGGAGCCCCGTGGAGGAAGGCTCTAGGTGACATATTGCTGACCGATGACTCCTAGTGTGCATGTGGTATTTGGGTCATGTACCTGGGATTCTCTTGCCTTCATCTGGAACTTCTGGTGCCCTTCTCCTGGGGCTCACTAATAAGAAAAGTAAAAATTATGCAAACTGAATTTTGAATTGGGACCAGGAAAATGGTACAGGGATATATGTAGCCTGTCTGTTGTTCCTACGTTTCTGGTTTGCCATGGTATCTGATCTTGTTCTTTGTGTTGATAGCACTACTTAATGAAATGTTTAGTTGATTTGGGGGTCCTTGTTATTGAGGCACCCCCCCCCCACTTACTTTAACTTTTTCTCCGTCTCTAGCTCTGTTTCCCTGGTGTGCACGCGTGCATTTGCTCTTTCTCTTTCCTCTCTTGTTTTTACTTTGTCCTCGCCGCTACTACTCTAGGAAAAATGTGAAGGATTAGCTTTCTCTGCCCAAAAGAGACAAGAGTTATAGGAAAGATTTGGGAAATGCAAAGTGAGATAGCAAGAAGTTTCTTATGTTGCTCCTTTTGAAATGACTTGATAAACTGACATGAATTCTAAGAATTTAGAAGCTTTTCTTTGAACTATCACAAACCTTTATAAACATGAGATGGTTTTACTGTGATAACTACAAGTTATCAACCATAAATAGAGAAAAATACAGGCAGGATGAGTGAGAGGTATGTTTGAGGATTTTTAATAGGAGAAAGCTGTTCTTATAACCCTGAATAGAGAGGGGTCCCTCTATCTGGGGAAGTCACTCTTTTTGACTAGCAGTTTCTTTTCTGGCCAGTACTTGCTCTACCCATTCTCATTTAGCCTTTGCTGTAGGCTTTTACCGGTCTCTTCAATGCTCTTAACATCTCTGTGTAGCCTTGCCTCCTTTTATAAGAAATAACTCCATTGCCATTAAACTTGCTTCCTGGATTCTCTATATTAATTGTTGTTACCATCATTCACCAAGCTGGAAACTGAAGATTTGCCCTTGATTCCCTTCTCCCATGAAGCCCTCCTTCGATCCTGAGGCAGAGTTGGACACTCTTGTCTCTGTACCACTGTGTGCATGTTTCTTGGTATGTACTTGGAGTTACTGCACATTAGTAGTTTGTAAACCA